CCACTAGCTCACACCCCAACTACATCACCCTGCCCAGACCCACTAGCTCACACCCCCAACTACATCACCCTGCCCAGACCCACTAGCACACACCCCCAACTACATCACCCTGCCCAGACCCACTAGCTCACACCCCCAACTACATCACCCTGCCCAGACCCACTAGCTCACACACCCCCAACTACATCACCCTGCCCAGACCCACTAGCACACACCCCCAACTACATCACCCTGCCCAGACCCACTAGCACACACCCCAACTACATCACCCGCCCACCAACCCCCACACACCTCCCACACCATCACCCTCCCCAGACCCACTAGCCACACCCCCAACTACATCACCCTGCCCAGACCCCACTAGCCCACACCCCCAACTACATCACCCTGCCCAGACCCACTAGCACCACACCCCCAACTACATCACCCTGCCCAGACCCCCACTAGCCACACCCCCAACTACACATCACCCCTGCCCAGACCCACTAGCTCACACCCCCAACTACATCACCCTGCCCAGACCCACTAGCACCCCACCACCCCCGACTCACCCATCACCCTGCCCAGACCCACTAGCCACACCCCCACTACATCACCCTGCCCAGACCCACTAGCTCACACCCCCCAACTACATCACCCTGCCCAGACCCACTAGCTCACACCCCCCAACTACATCACCCTGCCCAGACCCCCTAGCTCACACCCCCAACTACATCACCCTGCCCAGACCCACTAGCCACACCCCCAACTACATCACCCTGCCCAGACCCCACTAGCTCACACCCCCAACTACATCACCCTGCCCAGACCCACTAGCTCACACCCCCACACTACATCACCCTGCCCAGACCCACTAGCCACACACCCCCAACTACATCACCCTGCCCAGACCCACTAGCTCACACACCCCCAACTACATCACCCTGCCCAGACCCACTAGCTCACACCCCCACACTACATCACCCCTGCCCAGACCCACTAGCTCACACCCCCAACTACATCACCCTGCCCAGACCCACTAGCACACACCCCCGACTACATCACCCTGCCCAGACCCACTAGCACACACCCCCGACTACATCACCCTGCCCAGACCCACTAGCACACACCCCCACTACATCACCCTGCCCAGACCCACTAGCTACACACCCCCAACTACATCACCCTGCCCAGACCCACTAGCTCCACACCCCCACTACATCACACCCTGCCCAGACCCACTAGCTCACCCACACACCCCCGACTACTCACCTAGCCTGCACCACTTTCCACCACCATGCCTAAACTGCCCATTTGTTTCTCCCCCGTACCACACCCTCGCCATATTAAACTAACTACATCATTTGTGGCCAGTATCACATAGCTATATCGCGCCATATGGATGACTACACCCTCGCCAGATAGTCAGGTGACTACACACTTCTGCCAGACCAGTACTACACCTCGCCAGATAGTCAGTGACTACAGCCTTCGTGGCCATAGTCAGGTGACTACACTTCGGCCAATAGTCAGGACTACACACTTCGCAGATATCAGGTGACTACAACCTTCGCCAGATAGTCAGGTGACACAACACTTCGCAAAGTAGTGACTACACCTTCGCCAGAGTAGTCAAGTGACTTACACTTCGGCCATATAGTCAGGTGACTACACCTTCGGCCAGATAGTCAGGTGACTACACTTCGGCCAGATAGTCAGGTGACTACAACCTTCGGCCAGATAGTCAGGTGACACACCTTCGGCCAGATAGTCAGGTGACTACACTTCGGCCAGATAGTCAGGTGACTACAGCTTCGGCCAGATAGTCAGGTGACTACACGCTTCGGCCAGATAGTCAGGTGACTACAGCTTCGGCCAGATAGTCAGGTGACTACAGCTTCGGCCAGATAGTCAGGTGACTACAGCTTCGGCCAGATAGTCAGGTGACTACAGCTTCGGCCAGATAGTCAGGTGACTACACCTTCGGCCAGATAGTCAGGTGACTACACCTTCGGCCAGATAGTCAGGTGACTACACCTTCGGCCAGATAGTCAGGTGACTACACCTTCGGCAGATAGTCAGGTGACACACCTTCGGCCAGATAGTCAGGTGACTACACCTTCGGCCAGATAGTCAGGTGACACACCTTCGGCCAGATAGTCAGGTGACTACAACCTTCGGCAGATAGTTCAGGTGACTACACCTTCGGCCAGATAGTCAGGTGACCACACCTTCGGCCAGATAGTCAGGTGACCACACCTTCGGCCAGATAGTCAGGTGACTACAGCTTCGCCAGATAGTCAGGTGACTACACCTTCGGCCAGATAGTCAGGTGACCACACCTTCGGCCAGATAGTCAGGTGACCACACCTTCGGCCAGATAGTCAGGTGACCACACCTTCGGCCAGATAGTCAGGTGACTACACAGCTTCGGCCAGATAGTCAGGTGACTAGACCTTCGGCCAGATAGTCAGGTGACCACACCTTCGGCCAGATAGTCAGTGTGACCACAACCTTCGGCCAGATAGTCAGGTGACCACACCTTCGGCCAGATAGTCAGGTGACTACACACCTTCGGCCAGATAGTCAGGTGACTACACCTTCGGCCAGATAGTCAGGTGACTACACCTTCGGCCAGATAGTCAGGTGACCACACCTTCGGCCAGATAGTCAGGTGACCACACCTTCGGCCAGATAGTCAGGTGACCACACCTTCGGCCAGATAGTCAGGTGACTACACCTTCGGCCAGATAGTCAGGTGACTACACCTTCGGCCAGATAGTCAGGTGACCACACCTTCGGCCAGATAGTCAGGTGACCACACCTTCGGCCAGATAGTCAGGTGACTACACCTTCGGCCAGATAGTCAGGTGACTAGACCTTCGGCCAGATAGTCAGGTGACTACAGCTGAGCACATTAGGAATTACAGTATCTTTATTTTACAACATTTTGTCCAGGTTCACCTTCCGACTATGTCATGGTCCCTCCTGCCTTATGACACCATTTCCCTGCAGAGGACCAAATCTTCCAAATATGACCACCTCGATATCTGGTATATCCAAAGCAGTAACCCTTCTGTCAATGTTTTGTATCTGTCCCAGTTTATAGGCTTGTCTAAAGGTTATGTATCTGGTCCTGTTGTATGATGGCTTGTCTAAAAGGTTATGTTCGGTCCTGTTGTATGAGGCCTTGGTCTAAAGGTATGTAATCTGGTCCTGTTGTATGAACGCTTGTCAAAGGTTATGTAACTTGGCCTGTTGTATGAGCTCTGTTCAATGTTTTGTATCTGGTCCTGTTGTATGAGGCTTGTCTAAAGGTTATGTATCTGGTCCTGTTGTATGAGGCTTGTCTAAAGGTTATGTATCTGGTCCTGTTGTATGAGGCTTGTCTAAAGGTTATGTATCTGGTCCTGTTGTATGAGGCTTGTCTAAATGTTATGTATCTGGTCCTGTTGTATGAGGCTTGTCTAAAGGTTGTCAAAGCAAACACAACCCATTACACTATATTAGCCTACATAAACCTCAGAAACCAGTTGGACCAAAGAAGCACACTTCTGTATGTTCACACCTCCAGGTCTTAATTAATTAGTTCCACTAGTCCCCTCCCTAGCCTGACCACTAGTCCCCTCCCTAGCCTGACCACTAGTCTCCTCCCTGCCTGACCACTAGTCTCCCTCCCTAGCCTGAACCACTAGTCTCCCTCCCTAGCCTGACCACTAGTCTCCCTCCCTAGCCTGAACCACTAGTCTCCCTCCCTAGCCTGACCACTAGTCTCCCTCCCTAGCCTGACCACTAGTCCCCTCCCTAGCCTGACCACTAGTCCTCCCTCCCTAGCCTGACCACTAGTCTCCCTCCCTAGCCTGACCACTAGTCTCCCTCCCTAGCCTAACCACTAGTCCCCCTCCCTAGCCTGACCACTAGTCTCCCTCCCTAGCCTGACCACTAGTCTCCCTCCCTAGCCTGACCACTAGTCCCCTCCCTAGCCTGACCACTAGTCTCCCCTCCCTAGCCTGACCACTAGTCCCCTCCCTAGCCTGACCACTAATCTCCCTCCCTAGCCTGACCACTAGTCCCCTCCCTAGCCTGACCACTAGTCCCCTCCCTAGCCTGACCACTAGTCCCCTCCCTAGCCTAACCACTAGTCCCCTCCCTAGCCTGACCACTAGTCCCCCCTGCCTACCACTAGTCCCCCTCCCTAGCCTGACCACTAGTCCCCTCCCTGCCTGACCACTAGTCCCCTCCCTAGCCTGACCACTAATCCCTCCCTAGCCTGACCACTAGTCCCCTCCCTAGCCTGACCACTAGTCCCCCTCCCTAGCCTGACCACTAGTCCCCTCCCTAGCCTGACCACTAGTCCCCTCCCTAGCCTAACCACTAGTCCCCTCCCTAGCCTGACCACTAGTCCCCCCCTGCCTAACATAGTCCCCCTGCCTGACCACTAATCCCCTCCCTAGCCTGACCACTAGTCCCCTCCCTAGCCTGACCACTAGTCCCCTCCCTGCCTGACCACTAATCCCCTCCCTGCCTGACCACTAGTCCCCTCCCTAGCCTGACCACTAATACCCCTCCCTAGCCTGACCACTAGTCCCCTCCCTAGCCTGACCACTAGTCCCCTTCCTAGCCTACCACTAGTCCCCTCCCTGCCTAACCACTAATCCCCTCCCTTGCCTGACCACTAGTCCCCTCCCTAGCCTGACCACTAGATCCCCTCCCTCCTAACCACTAGTCCCCTCCCTAGCCTGACCACTAGTCCCCCTTCCTATCCCCTCCCTAGCCTACATAGTCATTGCCATGCCACAGTTTCCTCCCTGCTGACCAGCTAAGTTCGCTCTCCTAGCATCTGGACCCTATTCCGTAGCTGACCCTATCCCCTCTCCCCAGACACAACTACCCCTCTGCCTGCCCTGATGTTCGTGCTGAGCAACCTCGGGGGTTGGTAGTTTTTTTTTTGGGGGGTGGGGGTAGTTGGTTATAGCAGATCTGGGACTATGGTATCCCTTCTCTCCCCAGACAAAACTCACCCTCTCAGCCTTGTCCTCCTGTGGTTCGGGGCTGGAGCAGACCTCGGCCAGGGCCACACGGAGCAGGAAGTCAAACAGGGGCACGGCCAGATCAGAGTTCACCACCCCGGAGCGGGACAGCTGATCCCTGACCTCTACCAGCGTCTCCTCCACTGACTGGATCTGCAGGGGAAAGATAGATAGATCAATCTCTTTTGATTCAAAGCTAAACTATCTGTCTGTCTGTCTGTCTGTCCATGTATCCATCTACCTATCTAGTTTCAAGTTTCAACGTTTATTCGCCACATGCACAGGATACAACAGGTGTAAAACAATACAGGATACAACAGGTGTAAAACAATACAGGATACAACAGATGTAAAACAATACAGTGACATTCTTACTTGAGAGCTCTTTCCCAACGGTCAGTGTCAGTACCTTATTCAATGTGCAGGGGTACTGGAGTGGTTGAGGTGGGATTATACGTAAAAAGTAACTGTTAGCAGGAATATATAAATACTATGGTAATATACATATATATATATATATATATATATATATATATATATATATATATATATATATATATATGTGTGTGTGTGTGTGTGTGTGTGTGTGTGTGTGTGTGTGTGTGTGTGTGTGTGTGTGTGTGTGTGTAAACGGGGCTGAAAAGTGACTGGTAGCAGGAATATATGAATACTATGATAATATACGAATGGTAATATATACATGTAAACAGGGCTGAAAAGTATATACAGTACCCGTCAGAAGTTTTAGAACACCTACTCATTCAAGGTTTTTTCTTTATTTTTACTATTTTCTACATTGTAGAATAATATTGAAGACATCAAAACTATGCAATAACACATGGAATCATGTAGTAACCAAAAAAGTGTTAAATAAATCAAAATATATTTTATATTTGAGATTCTTCGAAGTAGCCACCCTTTGCCTTGATGACAGCTTTGCACACTCTTGGTATTCTCTCAACCAGCTTCACCTGGAATGCTTTTCCAACAGTCTTGAAGGAGTTCCCACATATGCTGAGCACTTGTTGGCTGCTTTTCCTTCACTCTGCGGTCTGACTCATCCCAAACCATATCAATTGGGTTGAGGTCGGGGGATTGTGGAGGCCAGGTCATCTGATGCAGCACTCCATCACTCTCCTTCTTGGTCAAATAGCCCTTACACAGCCTGGAGGTGTGTTGGGATATTGTCCTGTTGAAAAACAAATGATAGTCCCACTAAGCCCAAACCAGATGGGATGGCGTATCGCTGCAAAATGCTGTGGTAGCCATGCTGGTTAAGTGCGCCTTGAATTCTAAATAAATCACAGACAGTGTCACCAGCAAAGCACCCCCACACCATAACACCTCCTCCTCCATGCTTCACAGTGGGAACTACACATGCGGAGATAATCCGTTCACACACACTACGTCTCACAAAGACGCGGCGGTTGGAACCAAAAATCTCAAATTTGGACTCCAGACCAAAGGACACATTTCCACTGGTCTAATGTCCATTGCTCGTGTTTCTTGGCCCAAGCAAGTCTCTTCTTATTATTGGCGTCCTTTAGTAGTTGTTTTTTTGCAGCAATTCGACCATGAAGGACTGATTCACACAGTTTCATCTGAACAGTTGATGTTGATATACAGTGGGGAGAACAAGTATTTGATACACTGCCGATTTTGCAGGTTTTCCTACTTACAAAGCATGTAGACAAAAATCCAGAAAATCACATTGTATGATTTTTTAGTAATTAATTTGCATTTTATTGCATGACATAAGTATTTGATCACCTACCAACCAGTAAGAATTCCGGCTCTCACAGACCTGTTAGTTTTTCTTTAAGAAGCCCTCCTGTTCTCCACTCATTACCTGTATTAACTGCACCTGTTTGAACTCGTTACCTGTATAAAAGACACCTGTCCACACACTCAATCAAACAGACTCCAACCTCTCCACAATGGCCAAGACCAGAGAGCTGTGTAAGGACATCAGGGATAAAATTGTAGACCTGCACAAGGCTGGGATGGGCTACAGGACAATAGGCAAGCAGCTTGGTGAGAAGGCAACAACTGTTGGCGCAATTATTAGAAAATGGAAGAAGTTCAATAATAATTATAATAATAATAATTAATCATTTAGCAGACGCTCTTATCCAGAGCGACTTACAGGAGCAATTAGGGTTAAGTGCCTTGCTCAAGGGCACATCGACAGATTTTTCACCTAGTCGGCTCTGAGATTAGAACCAGCGACCTTTTGGTTACTGGCACAACGCTCTTAACCACTAAGATGACGGTCAATCACCCTCGGTCTGGGGCTCCATGCAAGATCTCACCTCGTGGGGCATCAATGATCATGAGGAAAGTGAGGGATCAGCCCAGAACTACACGGCAGGACCTGGTCAATGACCTGAAGAGAGCTGGGACCACAGTCTCAAAGAAAACCATTAGTAACACACTACGCCGTCATGGATTAAAATTCTGCAGCACACGCAAGGTCCCCCTGCTCAAGCCAGCGCATGTCCAGGCCCGTCTGAAGTTTGCCAATGACCATCTGAATGGTGCAGAGGAGGAATGGGAGAAGGTCATGTGGTCTGATGAGACAAAAATAGAGCTTTTTGGTCTAAACTCCACTCGCCGTGTTTGGAGGAAGAAGAAGGATGAGTACAACCCCAAGAACACCATCCCAACCGTGAAGCATGGAGGTGGAAACATCATTCTTTGGGGATGTTTTTCTGCAAAGGGGACAGGACGACTGCACCGTATTGAGGGGAGGATGGATGGGCCATGTATCGCGAGATCTTGGCCAACAACCTCCTTCCCTCAGTAAGAGCATTGAAGATGGGTCGTGGCTGGGTCTTCCAGCATGACAACGACCCGAAACACACAGCCAGGGCAACTAAGGAGTGGCTCCGTAAGAAGCATCTCAAGGTCCTGGAGTGGCCTAGCCAGTCTCCAGACCTGAACCCAATAGAACATCTTTGGAGGGAGCTGAAAGTCCATATTGCCCAGCGACAGCCCCGAAACCTGAAGGATCTGGAGAAGGTCTGTATGGAGGACTGGGCCAAAATCCCTGATGCAGTGTGTGCAAACCTGGTCAAGACCTACAGGAAACGTATGATCTCTGTAATTGCAAACAAAGGTTTCTGTACCAAATATTAAGTTCTGCTTTTCAGATCAAATACTTATGTCATGCAATAAAATGCAAATTAATTACATAAAAATCATACAATGGGATTTTCTGGATTTCAATCAAACAAACAATCAAGATGTCATCTTTAATTTAAGGGTTTTGTCAAAATGATTGTCTGAACCGTGTAGGAATTACAACCATTTTATACATAGCCCCCCAATTTTAGGGGCTCAAAAGTAATTGGACAAACTAACATAATCATGAATTAAATTGTGAGCTTTAATACTTGGTTACAAATCCTTTGCAGTCAATGACTGCCTGAAGTCTGGAAGCCATAGGCATCACCTGATGCTGGGTTTCTTCCCTGGTGATGCTCTGCCAGGCCTTTACTGCAGCTGTCTTCAGTTTCTGCTTGTTCTTGGGGCGTTTTGCCTTCAGTTTTGCATTCAGCAAGTGAATGCATGCTCAATTGGTTTCAGGTCAGGTGATTGACTTGGCCATTGCAGAACATTCTACTTCTGTGCCTTAAAAAAAAGTATTGGGTTGCTTTCGCAGTATGATTCAGGTCATTGTCCATCTGCACTGTGAAGCGTCATCCAATGAGTTTTGAAGCATTTGGCTGAATCTGAGCAGGTAAAAAAGCCCTAAACACATCAGAATTCATCCTGCTGCTTTTGTCAGCAGTCACATCATCAATAAATACAAGGGAACGAGTTCCATTGGCAGCCATACATGCCCACGCCATAACACTACCTCCACCATGCTTCACAGATGAGGTGGTATGCTTCGGATCATGAGCAGTTCCTTCCCTTCTCCATGCTCTTCTCTTCCCATCATTCTGGTACAAGTTGATCTTTGTCTCATCTGTCCATGGGATGTTGTTCCAGAACTGTTCAGGCTTTTTAAGGTTTTTAATCTGGTCTTCCTGTTTTTGAGGCTTACCAATGGTTTAAATCTTGTGGTAAACCCTCTGTATTTACTCTGGTGAAGTCTTCTCTTGACTTTGACACAGATACTCCTACCTCCTGGAGGGTGTTCTTGATCTGGCCAACTGTTGTCAAGGGGTTTTTCTTCACCAGGGAAATCATTATTCTGTCATTCACCACAGTTGTTTTCTGTGGTCTTCCGGGCCTTTTGGTTTTCCTGAGCTCACAAGTGCGTTCTTTCTTTTTAAGAATGTACCAAATAGTTGATTTGTCCACAACTAATGTTTTTGCTTTCTCTCTGATGGGTTTGTTTAGATTTTTCAGCCTAGTGACGGCTTGATTCACTCAGCTCTTTGGCCTTCATATTGAGGGTTAACAGCAACAGATTCCAAATGCAAATGCCACACTAGAAATCAACTCTAGACCTTTTATCTGCTTCCTTGTAAATGAACTAATGAGGGAATAACACACACCTGGTCATGGAGCAGCTGAGCAGCCAATCACACACCTGGTCACGGAACAGCTGAGCAGCCAATCACACACCTGGTCATGGAACAGCTGAGCAGCCAAACACACACCTGGCCATGGAACAGCTGAGCAGCCAATCACACACCTGGTCACGGAACAGCTGAGCAGCCAATCACACACCTGGTCATGGAACAGCTGAGCAGCCAAACACACACCTGGCCATGGAACAGCTGAGCAGCCAAACACACACCTGGTCATGGAGCAGCTGAGCAGCCAAACACACACCTGGTCACGGAAAAGCTGAGCAGCCAAATCACACATCTTGTCACGGAGCAGCTGAGCAGCCAAACACACACCTGGTCACGGAACAGCTGAGCAGCCAATCACACACCTGGTCATGGAGCAGCTGAGCAGCCAATCACACACCTGGTCATGGAACAGCTGAGCAGCCAATCACACACCTGGTCACGGAACAGCTGAGCAGCCAATCACACACCTGGTCATGGAACAGCTGAGCAGCCAAACACACACCTGGCCATGGAACAGCTGAGCAGCCAAACACACACCTGGTCATGGAGCAGCTGAGCAGCCAAACACACACCTGGTCACGGAAAAGCTGAGCAGCCAAATCACACATCTTGTCACGGAGCAGCTGAGCAGCCAAACACACACCTGGTCACGGAACAGCTGAGCAGCCAATCACACACCTGGTCATGGAGCAGCTGAGCAGCCAATCACACACCTGGTCATGGAACAGCTGAGCAGCCAAACACACACCTGGTCATGGAACAGCTGAGCAGCCAATCACACACCTGGCCATGGAACAGCTGAGCAGCCAATCACACCCCTGGCCATGGAACAGCTGAGCAGCCAATCACACCCCTGGCCATGGAACAGCTGAGCAGCCAATTGTCCAATGACTTTATGTCCCTTAAAAAGGGGGGGGACCACATATAAAAAGTGCTGTAATTCCTTCACCGTTCACCCCATTTGGATGTAAATACCCTCAAATTAAAGCTGAAAGTCTGCACTTTATTATTTAATTCCAACTCCAATATGCTGTGGTAGACAGCTGAATAATAATAACATGGTCAATGTCCAAATATTTATGGACCTGACTGTCGATACTAATGGTCCTGAATAATCAACAAACAGCAGCGTAATGGTAGTAATAAATCGAGTTTTGTCTACAGGGTCAAAATACTTTAACCTGCTTTTTTTTTGCAATAATCACTGATCTGGCTTTCAAGTCTGGCTATGAAAATGCCCTGTTTGTTACAAATTTAACTAAAACCATGCATAATGCACATTCACTAATAATGACTAACTTCTTCTAGCAGGCATTAGGCTGTAGAAAATTAACACAGGTCTCATCAACAATCTCTCAAGCCCACATGCTAGTGATTAGCCAGCTAATCTTTATATTTCAAGTTTAGGCAACTTGGATTTATTTGCTAGCTAACAAGGTTGAATTGTTATGAACACACCCTTCTGTCTGTCTCCAACTGTTTGAACAGCATGTTAGCCTGTCCACTTTGTTCAGATGTTGAAATCAAGTGGCCTACCTCATTTCTCAGAATTAGAACGAGTTGCCAATTCCTTATATAATTGTGCTTTTTGCTTATTTCACCTTTATAAAACACTGACTAGACAGCTAGTATAACAGTCTATGGCTAAAATGCTGCCAGCGGTAACCCAATGCCATGCGCAATAAACTGAGCATTCATTTTCCAGAATCAATGTTCATTAATACTCTCATTTTAGTATTGTCTGCTCTGCACGCAATTTGAATAGTTGAGACATAAAACGGGTATCGTTAGAAAAGTTAACTTCTCCTCTATTACAGTAAAATAATGTCTCAATGTGTTTCCATATGAGCGATTCGTTTGGACCAAACCTCAAATGGAAGATGTGATCTCTCAACTTTGTTGAGATGAGAGGCAGGGGGAGGGGTTTGGTGTGTGTAAACCAAAAAGAGGTTTCACTGTGGGGCCGATGAAGCCAGTGACGTAGGTGGTTAGCTCGTCAATGCTGTCGGCGAAGCCCTGGAACACATTTCAGTCAGCGCTAGCAAAACAGTCCTGCAGCATAGCCTCTGATTCAGTGGACCATTTCTCTACGGCTCATGTCACGGGTACTTCGTGATTTGAGCTTCTGTTTGTAAACAGGAAGCAGGAGTATAGCCTCGTGATCTGATTTTCTGAAGGGAGACAAGGGAGGACCTTGTATTCTTGCTTGTGGGTTGAGTAACAGTGGTCTAGGCCTTTATTGCCCCTAGTGGCGAAGGAGACATGTTGATAGAAGTTTAGCATCATGTGTCTTAATGATGCGGAATTAAAATCACCAGCAACAAGGAAAGCAGCCTCCGGGTGCATGGTTTCCTGCGTGTTTATAGCCTGGTACAGTTGGTTAAGGGCCAGCTTGTTGTTCTGAGGTGGAATATATACAGCAGTCAACTCTCTCGGGAGGTAGAAGGGGCGGCATTTGTCGAGACTTCCACTGTGTTAAGAGTCTGCACACCATTTGCTGTTGATGAAGAGACATACCCCTCCCCCTCTGGATTTCCCTGAATCCGATGTCCTGTCCGCTCGGTGAATGGAGAATCCATCGAGTTGGATAGCCATAGGGGGTATCTTGTCCGAAAGCCATGTTTCAGAAAAACAGAATATTGCAGTTACGAGAATCCCGTTGATAGCAAATCCGCGACCGGAGGTCATCCATCTTATTATCAAATGATTCTATTAACAAATAGAATGGAGGGGAGTGGTGGCCGGTTTCCCCTTTGCCTTAGTCTCACCAGGACACCCGCTCTCCTGCCTCTTTTCGCCGGCATTTCTTCTTGGGTAGTCCGAAGATTGGGTCGGAGATACACAAAGAGCCAAGGGCAGATGAGTCGAAGTTGAAGCCAGAATTGAGGTTGTTAAAAAGTTATTGTCGCTCATAAGAAATGATACATTTCGTGCTAAAAAAGTAACGATAAATGCCAAAAGAATCACAAAATAGCTGTTGGTTCGGTGCTTACAAGACAGCAACCATACAGTATGGAAGCATGTTTTCATCTACCTTAAAGGTAGAATGCAATCTGTCACTTTCAAAGGAGTAAAGAAATATGATTTATTGTCACATACACCAGATAGGTGCAGTGTAATGTGTTGTTTTACAGGGTCAGCCATAGTAGTATGATAGGTCCAGTGTAATGTGTTGTTTTACAGGGTCAGCCATAGTAGTATGATAGGTGCAGTGTAATGTGTTGTTTTACAGGGTCAGCCATAGTAGTATGATAGGTCCAGTGTAATGTGTTGTTTTTACAGGGTCAGCCATAGTAGTATGATAGGTCCAGTGTAATGTGTTGTTTTACAGGGTCAGCCATAGTAGTATGATAGGTCCAGTGTAATGTGTTGTTTTACAGGGTCAGCCATAGTAGTATGATAGGTCCAGTGTAATGTGTTGTTTTACAGGGTCAGCCATAGTAGTATGATAGGTCCAGTGTAATGTGTTGTTTTACAGGGTCAGCCATAGTAGTATGATAGGTCCAGTGTAATGTGTTGTTCTACAGGGTCAGCCATAGTAGTACAGCAACCCTGGAGCAAATTATGTTTAAGTGCCTTGCTCAAGAGCACATAGGCAGATATGGGGCTGATTGATATGGGGCTGATTGATATGGGGCTGATTGATATGGGGCTGATTGATATGGGGCTGACTGATAGGTACCTGGAATGGTACTACGTCTAGGTACCTGGAATGAAAGCTCCGGTTCGATCCTCTGCAGGCCTGAGTTAGCGCTGTGCAGGCAGATAGCTAGCAGGGCCTCCAGCATTCTGATGCTCTGTAGAGGCCACCCTTCATCCAGCCTCCTGGAAGGATCCTTCTGGGTCCCCTTCCCCTGCCCCTGCCCACCCTGGTCTGGGCTCACAGCTCCAGCTGGGTCCTTCCCTGGATCCTCCACTCCCAGGGTGGTGCAACCTTTCAAACAGAATGGCAAAAGCTGGCTGATGACTGAGCCATAGAACCGTTTTCATGTCTGTATCTACGTAATGCAGGGGTTCTTCAACTTTTTCAACCTGGGACCCAAATTAGAAATTCAGTGATTTCCTGGGACGCTAGCTCATGAAACCATGCTTCCTTTTGGGGTCCTAAGCGAGATTTGGTTGGATTCATATTTCTCTCTGCCTCTTGACGGCAAAGAGGAAAAAACTGAAGTTTTCAAGTTCATTTCCTGAAACACATTTAGCCATGCGGCAGAGAGAAAATGTTGCAATTTTATAAAAAAATGTCATGCAATTCTACCCATTTTGCCATGGGGTGGAGAGAAACCTTTGCAGTTTTAAAGCTAATTTCCTGAAATTCTACACATATTGCCATGACTTATGCCATGTTAACATGATCTCTGAGTGAGAGTGACTAACAACATCAAATGGGGGGCACCTGGAGGTCAGAGTTACCACAAGTGTTTTTACCAATCTAAAAATGGTTCGCTGACATGGCTAATTGAGTGACTGTCAGCGACTGAAATAACAAGAGAAAAACTGCTTTTATTTTTAAATTGCATCTTGTGCATTCTACTATTCTAACTCTCAACAGCAAGTTGAGACCCCGACTGAGTTCCCCAAAAATATTATATATTCATATGTACAGTACCAGTAAAAAGTTTGGACACTCCTACTCATTCCAGGGTTTTTCCAAATTTTGACTATTTTCTACATTGTAGAATAATAGTGAAGACATCAAAACTATGAAATAACACATATGGAATCCTGTAGTAACCAAAAACGTGTTAAACAAATCAAAATATATTTTATATTTGAGATTCTTCGAAGTAGCCACCATTTGCCTTGATGACAGCTTTGCACACTCTTGGCATTCTCTCAACCAGCTTCATGAGGTAGTCACCTGGAATGCATTTCAATTAACAGGTGTGCCTTCTTAAAAGTTAATTTGAGGAATTTCTTTCCTTCTTAATGCGTTTGAGCCAATCAGTTGTGTTGTGACAAGGTAGGGGTGGTATACAGAAGATAGCCCTATTTGGTAAAAGACCAAGTCCATATTATGGCAAGAACAGCTCAAATAAGCGAAGAGCAACGACAGTCCATCATTACTTTAAGACACGAACGTCAGTCAATTCGGAAGATTTCAAGAACTTTGAAAGTTTCTTCAAGTGCAGTCGCAAAAACCATCAAGCGCTATGATGAAACTGGCTCTCATGAGGACCGCCACAGGAATGGAAGACCCAGAGTTACCTCTGCTGCAGAGGATAAGTTCATTAGAGTTACCAGCCTCAGAAATTGCAGTCCAAATAAATGCTTCACAGAGTTCGAGTCAAAGACACATCTCAACATCAACTGTTCAGAGGAGACTGCGTGAATCAGGCCTTCATGGTCGAATTACTGCAAAGAAACCACTACTAAAGGACACCAATAAGAAGAAGAGACTTGCTTGAGTCAAGAAAAATGAGCAATGGACATTAGACTGGTGGAAATCTGTCCTTTTTGTCTGATGAGTCAAAATTTGAGATTATTGGTTCCAACCGCCAGGTCTTTGTGAGACGCAGAGTAGGTGAACGAATGATCTCCGCATGTGTGGTTCCCACCGTGAAGCATGGAGGAGGAGGTGTGATGGTGTGGGGGTGCTTTGCTGGTGACACTGTCTGTGATTCTTTTAGAATTCAAGGTACACTTAACCAGCATGGCTACCACAGCATTCTGCAGCGATACGCCATCCCATCTGGTTTGGGCTTAGTGGGACTATCATTTGTTTTTCAACAGGACAATGACCCAACACACCTCCAGGCTGTGTAAGGGCTATTTGACCAAGAAGGAGAGTGATGGAGTGCTGCATCAGATGACCTGGCCTCCACAATCACCCAACCTCAACCCAATTGAGATGGTTTGGGATGAGTTGGACCGCAGAGTGAAGGAAAAGCAGCCAACAAGTGCTCAGCATATGTGGGAACTCCTTCAAGACTGTTGGAAAAGCATTCCAGGTGAAGCTGGTTGAGAGAATGCCAAGAGTGTGCAAAGCTGTTATCAAGGCAAAGGGTGGCTACTTTGAAGAATCTCAAATATAAAATATATTTTGATTTGTTTAACACTTTTTTGGTTACTACATGATTCCATATGTGTTATTTCATAGTTCTGATGTCTTCACTATTATTCTACAATGTAAAAAATAGTAAAAAAAATTAAGAGAAACCCTTGAAGGAGTAGGTGTGTCCAAACTTTTGACAGGTACTGTATGTTTATTTTTTTTACCCTGACATCGCGACCCACCTTTAACACGTCACGACCCACTTTGGGTTGCAACCCATACTTTAAGAAAGGCTGATGCACTTTAAGGGACCTCAATGGACATAAGTCCTTGTGTCATCCCTGTCCAGTTTTAAAATGCATGTATTGTGTATTTGTATTTTTTGTAACTGTCAAATAAAATCAATCAATCGATCAAACCTGGGGTTGGCGTAGAGGTTGGTGATGGGGCAGGGGAGTCAGGGCTAGCCTTCCCATCTCTCTTCTTCTTGCCATCCTTGGTCTTAGAGGTGAGATTTTGGATGACCATGGTCATGAGGCGGGAACAGACGTCTAGTCCCCCGAGCCGGTAGAACTGTCTCTGGAACACGGGACTCGCCAGGTAGATCCAGCGACACACCGACCACACGTCCGCGGCACGCCGCACCTGTTAAAGTTCAAAGATTAGATGTATTATTTAATATATTATTAGGTAATATATTTATTATATATATAAATAATCGCTTTGGTAAATGACAAAAATGTAAATATTATATGTATAGTATACACTCTGAAATCCTTGATATTAATTAGGGCTGTCAAAGTTATCGCGTTAATAATGTGAATGCGTGACATGTTTATCAGCGTAAAATGTTTTGACTCTGTTAAATCGCATCTCCATTTCTTCACTGCACGGAACCTTTTAAGCGCAGAACACAACACGGAACCTTTTAAGCGCAGAACACAACACGGAACCTTTTAAGCGCAGAACACAACACGGAACCTTTTAAGCGCAGAACACAACACGGAACCTTTTAAGCAGAACACAACACAGGGAACCTTTTAAGCGCAGAACACAACACGGAACCTTTTAAGCGCAGAACACAACACGGAACCTTTTAAGCGCAGAACACAACACAGAACCTTTTAAGAGCACATGTTCAGCAGGGAACCTTTTAAGCGCAGAACACAACACGGAACCTTTTAAGCGCAGAACACAACACGGAACCTTTTAAGAGCACATGTTCAGCAGGGAACCTTTTAAGCGCAGAACACAACACGGAACCTTTTAAGCGCAGAACACAACACGGAACCTTTTAAGAGCACATGTTCAGCAGGGAACCTTTTAAGCGCAGAACACAACACGGAACCTTTTAAGCGCAGAACACAACACGGAACCTTTTAAGAGCACATGTTCAGCACGGAACCTTTTAAGAGCACATGTTCAGCAGGGAACCTTTTAAGCGCAGAACACAACACGGAACCTTTTAAGCGCAGAACACAACACAGAACCTTTTAAGAGCACATGTTCAGCAGGGAACCTTTTAAGAGCACATGTTCAGCACGGAACCTTTTAAGAGCACATGTTCAGCACGGAACCTTTTAAGAGCACATGTTCAGCAGGGAACCTTTTAAGAGCACATGTTCAGCACGGAAACCTTTTAAGAGCACATGTTCAGCACGGAACCTTTTAAGAGCACATGTTCAGCACGGAACCTTTTAAGAGCACATGTTCAGCAGGGAACCTTTTAAGCGCAGAACACAACACGGAACACAGCTGCATTCTTTGCTTGGGCCTTTACATATCTGAAGACCGTGTAGCCAAAATCATGTCGACGTTATGCCCAATATTACCGGAGCTACAGTGCCTTCAGGAAGGATTCACACCCCTTGACTTTTTCCACATTTTGTTGTGTTACAAAGTGGGATTAAAATTGATTTAATTGTCATTTTTTGCCAACGATCTACACAAAATACTCAAGTGTCGAAGTGGAAGAAAAATGTCTTACAAATGTCTGAATTTATTAAAAAAATAAAACACTAATATACAGTAGACAAAACATTAGGAACAGGAGGTCTTTCCATGGAATAGACTAATAAGGATCATAGCTTTCACCTGGTCAATGTAACTTATTGAATCCACTTCAATCGGGTGCAACTCAATATTAGGAAGGTGTTCCTAATGTTTTGTACACTCAGTGTATCTTGATTACATAAGTATTCAACCCCCTGAGTCAATACATGTTAGAATCACCTTTAGCAGCGATTACAGCTGTCAGTCTTTCTGGGTCAGTCTCTAAGAGATTTCCACACCTGGATTCTGCAACATTTGCCCATTATTCTTTTCAAAATTCTTCAAGCTCTGTCAAATTGGTTGTTGATCATTGCTAGACAACCATTTTCAGGTCTTGCCATAAATTCTCAAGCAGATTTAAGTCAAAACTGTAACTCGCCCACTCATTCACTGTCTTCTTCGTAAGCAACTCCAGTGTAGATTTGGCGCTGTGTTTTAGGTTATTGTCCTTCTGAAAGGTAATTAATCTCCCAGTGTCTGGTGGAAAACAGACTGAACCAGGTTTGCCTCAAGGATTTTGCCTGTGCTTAGCTCCATTCCGTTTCTTTTTTATCCTGGAAACTCCCCAGCCCTTAACGATTACAAGCATACCAATAACATGATGCAGCCACCACTATGCTTGAAAATATGGAGAGTGGTACTCAGTAATGTGTTGTATTGGATTTGCCCCAAACATACAATTTTGTAATGAGGAAAAAAAGTTAATTGCTTAGCTTATTTTTTTTGCAGTATTAGTTTAGTGCCTTGTTGCAAACAGGATGCATGTTTTGGAATATTTGTATTCTTTACAGGCTTCCTTCTTTTCACTCTGTCATTTAGGTTAGTATTGTGGAGTAACTACAATGTTGTTGATCCATCCTCAGTTTTCTCTTATCACAGCCAATAAACTCTGTAACTGTTTTAAAGTCACCATTGGCCTCATGGTGAAATCCCTGAGTGGTTTCTTTCTTCTCCGGCAACTGAGTTAGGAAGGACACCTGTAGCTTTGTAGTGACTGGGTGTATTGATAAACTTCACCATGCTCAAAGGGATATTCAATGTCTGCTTTTTCTTTAATCTACCCATAGGTACCCCTCAGAGTGAGTCCATGCAACTTATTATGTGACTTGTTAAGCTTTTTTTTTTTTTTACTCCTGAACTTATTTAGGCTTGCCATTTCAAAGGGGTTGAATACTTATTGACTCAAGTCATTTCAGTTTTTCATTTGTAATTAATTTGTAAATAAAATTGAAAAACATAATTCCACTTTGACATTATGGGGTATTGAGTGAAGCCAGAGACCAAAAAACCTCAATTTAATCAATTTTAGGCTGTAACACAACAAAATGTGGAAAAAGTCAAGGGGTGTGAATACTGTCTGAAGGCACTGTGTGTTCCTTCATTCTGCCGCAGATCGGCGGGCCGCTTTAAACCCCAATTGTTTTGTTTTGATAACAAACAACATTGTGTAGCTAGCTAGTCATGTTACCTAGCAAGCAAGCAAGCTGCTTCCTTGAACTAACTAGGCTATGCACACATCTAGATGGCACAGGTAGACCTGAACAGGAATAGGCTCCTCAAAGAGATGCTTCAAAGGTAGACTGGGGTGTTATAGACTGGGGTGTTATAGACTGGGGTGTTATAGACTGGGGTGTTATAGACTGGGGTGTGATAGACTGGGGTGTGATAGACTGGGGTGTGATAGACTGGGGTGGGATAGACTGGGGTGGGATAGACTGGGGTGTGATAGACTGGGGTGTGATAGACTGGGGTGTGAAGCCCTGGGGTGTTATAGAGGGGTGGGATGACTGGGTGGGATAGACTGGGGTTTGTTGTGATAGACTGGGGTGGGATAGCCCTGGGGTTGGATACGACTGGGGTGTTGAAAGACTGGGTGTTATCCGGGGTGTGAAAGACTGGGGTGTGAAAGACTGGGGTGTGAAAGACTGGGGTGTTATAGACTGGGGTGTGATAGACTGGGGTGTTAAAGACTGGGGTGTGAAAGACTGGGGTGTTATAGACTGGGGTGTGATAGACTGGGGTGTGAAGACTGGGGTGTGAAAGACTGGGGTGTTATAGACTGGGGTGTTATAGACTGGGGTGTGATAGACTGGGGTGTGATAGACTGGGGTGTGAAAGACTGGGGTGGTGATAGACTGGGGTGTGAAAGACTGGGGTGTTATAGACTGGGGTGTTATAGACTGGGGTGTTATAGACTGGGGTGTTAAAGACTGGGGTGTTATAGACTGGGGTGTTATAGACTGGGGTGTTATAGACTGGGGTGTGAAAGACTGGGGTGTTATAGACTGGGGTGTTATAGACTGGGGTTGTGTGAAAGACTGGGGTGTTATAGGGACTGGGGTGTTATAGATGGTGTGTTGTGATAGACTGGGGTGGGGAAAGACTGGGGTGGGATAGAGAGGGGGGATAGATGGGGTGTGATAGACTGGGGTGTTATAGACTGGGGTGTGAAAGACTGGGGTTATAGACTGGGGTGTTATAGACTGGGGTGTTATAGACTGGGGTGTGATAAGACTGGGGTGTGATAGACTGGGGTGTGATAGACTGGGGTGTTATAGACTGGGGTGTTATAGACTGGGGTGTGTAACGTAGACTGGGGTGTATAGACTGGGGGTGTATAGACTGGGGTGGGATAAGACTGGGGTGTGATAGACTGGGGTGTGATAGACTGGGGTGTTATAGACTGGGGTGTGATAGACTGGGGTGGATAGACTGGGGGTTGTGGGATTAGACTGGGGTGAAAGACTGGGGGGTAGATGGGGTTGTGAAAGATGGGGGGGATAGAGAGGGGTGTTGAAGGATGGGTGTGAGAAATGGGATGCTGGGTTATAGCTGGGGTGGATAGACTGGGGGTTGTGTGTGTTGGTATAGACTGGGGTTGTGGTTTAGACTGGGGTGTTGGAATGGGTGGATAGAGAGGGGTGGTTGTATAGACTGGGGGTGTGCATGGTAAGATGGGGGTGTATAGACTGGGGTTGTGGATAGACTGGGGTGGGATAGACTGGGGTGGTGATAGGACTGGGTGGGGAAAGACTGGGGTGTGGATAGACTGGGGTGTGGGTGAAAGACTGGGGTGGGTTTAGAGAGGGGTGTGATGTGGATAGACTGGGGGTGTGTGATAGACTGGGGTGTTATAGACTGGGGTGGGATAGACTGGGGTGATGATGATAGAGAGGGTGTGTGGGTGGATAGACTGGGGGTGATAGATGGGTGTTAGACTGGGGTGGGATAGACTGGGGTGGGGATAGAAGGGGTGTGTGGACTGGTGGGGTGTGATAGACTGGGGTGGTGATAGACTGGGGGGTGATAGAGAGGGGTTTGATAGACTGGGGTGTGGGATAGACTGGGGTGTTTAGGACTGGGGTGTGATAGACTGGGGTGGGATAGACTGGGGTGTGATAGACTGGGGTGGTGTATAGTGTGATAGACTGGGGTGGGATAGAGAGGGGTGTGATAGACTGGGGTGTGATAGACTGGGGTGTTATAGACTGGGGTGTGATAGACTGGGGTGTGATAGACTGGGGTGTGATAGACTGGGGTGTGATAGACTGGGGTGTGATAGACTGGGTGGTGGATAGAGGGGGGTGGGATTCGACTGGGGTGGGGAAAGACTGGGGGGGATAGATGGGGTGTGATAGACTGGGGTGTTATAGACTGGGGGGATAGACTGGGGTGTGTATAGACTGGGGTTTGAGGGGGGAAGACTCTGGGTGGTGTTATAGACTGGGGTGTTTAGGATGGGGGGGTGATAGACTGGGGTGGAAAACTGGGGTGTGAAGACGGGGGTGTGATAGACTGGGGTGTTATAGACTGGGGGGAAAACTGGGGTTTTATGACGGGGGTGGATAGACTGGGGTGATGATGGGGGTTTTAGACTGGGTGTTATAGTGGGGGGTGTTTGAGGGGGGTTATAATGGGGTGATGACGGGGGGGGGGGGTTTTTTTTTTAAAGTCCTCCTTAAAGGGTTCTTTTTCCTTTCCCCAACAAAGCACCAATAAAAGTGTGGAGGAAGTGGGAGCGAGGGGGTTGGGGGGGAGGGACTTGTGTGAAAGTTATCTAAAGTCAGTGGTTCCAGTGTTTTCAAACAATTTTTGAAAAATTTTTAAAAACTATTTGTACCATAGCAATCATTTAAAAAAGGGGGGAAGCTTTAACAGTTACTTAAAACTGGGGGTTTTTTTGTGTTTGTGTGTGGGGGCCGTGGGAAAAGGGTTTGGGGTGTGGTGTTTTTTGTTTTAAGAAGGGAAAAAGGGGTGGGGTTTGCTTTAAAAGTGGGTTTCTAAAACATTGTGGGGGGGAGTAGGCCCACAAAAACCCTTGATAGGGAACAAAAAGGGGGGGGGAATTCTTTAAACTTATCAGGGGAGTAGCCCCCGAAAAATTTATCAAGGGGGTAGCCCCACGAAAAAAATTTATCAGAGGGGGTGGCCTCTGAAACATTGACAAGGAGTAGGTCTATGAAAAAATTGATCGAGAGGGTTTCTGAAACATTGATAAAGGGAGTGGGCTACTGAAAATTGATCAAGGGGGTTTAAAAAAATGGGGGGGGGCCTACTGAAATTTCAGAGGGAGTGGTCTCTGAAACATTTATCGAGGATGGTTTTAAAATTTTTCGGGGAAGGTCTACGAAACATTGACAAGGGGTGGTCAAAATAAAAAAGGAGGGGTCACTAAAAGAAGAGGGGAAAACCCAAAAATTTGAAAAGGGGAGGTCTACTGAAACATTTACAGGGGATAGGCCTTTCTGAAACATTTCCCCGGGAGTAGGCTACGAAACATTGTTTAAGGGGGGAACCCAAAAAATTTACAAAGGGGGTAGGTCTACTGAAAAATTGATCAGAGGGAGTGCCCCAAAAATTAAAGGGGGGTAACTGAAACATTGATCAAAGGAAGGGGGGTTACTAAACATTAAAGGGGGGTAGGCCCACTAAATTTTGAGGGGGGCCACAAATTAAAGAAATTTTTTACTAAATTAGGGGTTTTTTTTTTAAAAATTCAAAAAATTCTACTGAAACATTTTGGTTTGTCCTTACCCTACAGAGGGGTAAAATGAACTTTTAAGGAAAAACCCCTTTTTAAAAAAGGGAATTTTTTAAAAAATTTAAAAAAGATTAGTTTACCCCAACCCTTTAAGGGGTTCTATTTAAAATTTTTTTAAGTAACCTAAACCCCAAAAACATTGTGGACAATAAAAAGAATGTGGTTAAAAAACAAAGGGAGGGAGCCCCCCCGTCAGGGGAGGGGTCCCCCTCCCCAGGGGGAAACCTACTGTTTTCCCAGAGACCCGGTCTTTCCCGGTCAAGGGGGGTCGGCCCCGGGGGAGGAAAAACAAGGAAGGGTTTTTTGTTGATGTTTTCCCCCCCCCCTTTAAAACCCCTGACCCTTGTTTTCCCCCCCCCCCCTTTTTTGCCCCCTTTAAATTTAAACTCTTGGCCCCCCCCCCTCCATGGGAAAATCCGTTTTTTCCCCCCCCACGGGATCCCCGGGGCCAAAAAAAATTCCCTTCCCCTGGGCCTGGGGGCTCCCGGGGGGCCCGGGGGTGCCCATCCCTCCAAGTATTAACGTCTAAAACCGAAAACCCCCGGCCCGAGCCCGGTTTAGTCCGCCCTGGAGAAAAAAACAACAGGGAAAGGTTGATTAATGGGGGGGGCCTTTTTTCTTTAAACCCCTTTTTCCCCCTTTGGGAAAAGGAAAAAAAAGGCCCCCTTTAAAAAACGAAACCCCGGGACCTCTACAACCCGAAATTTTCGGGGGGGGCGACGGCCTTTCTCCCCCCCTTTTTTTTCAAGGGGGGAACCTTTTCAAAAAACCCCGAAAAGGGCTGGCCGCAACCGGGCCCCTTTTCCCTTTTTTTAAAAAAGGGGGGGGCCCAAAGGAGAGCCCTTTCCCTACCCTTTTTAAAATTTTTTGGGGGGGAAAAAAACCCTTTTAAAAATAAACTTGGTCGTTTACCAAGCCCGGTCCGAGTCGGCCTCCTTGCTGACGCAGAGGAACGCCACACACAGGAAGAGGTTGATGGTGTTCAGATGGGTCTCTCCCTGGCCCCTCCCACTCTGTGTTCCCACCTCCTTGGGCATGCCTCTTTTAGACACTCGTAGAACTTGGAAAGGCTCTGTGGGCCCCCTTCTCCTATGGGACCTCCGGTACTTCCAGCCCCACGGGATCCCAGCTCCTCAGCCAGGCCCAGCATGGTCCCTCTCTCCTGGGCCCTCGGGTCCCCTATTGGGACCTGGTCCTGGTGCTCCACTCCAACTCCAAGTATTAACGTCTCAAACACCTTGAGGGCCCAGGCCCGAGTCTGGTCCAGGTAGATGAGCTCCGTCACCTGGTTCAGACCGTTACAGGACAGGAACAGGTCCCTGATCACCCTGACATGGAGGAGGAGGAGGAACACTTTCATTTAACGCTTTCATCTTTCAATTGAAGAGAAGGAATATGAAAAAAGGTCCCTTTAAAAAAGTCTGAAACCGGAGCAGCCTTCTACAATCACTCTGTATTTAAAGTCTGGCGCAAAGGACGGCCTTTACCAATCACTCTGTATTTAAAGTCTGAAACGGAGCAGCCTTCTACAATACTCTGTATTTAAGTCTGGCCGAAAACCGGAGCAGCCTTCTACAATCACTCTGTATTTAATCTGGCCGCAAACCGGAGCACCTTCTACATCACTCTGTTTTAAAGTCTGGGCGGCAACCGGAGCAGCCCTCTACAACCCCCTGTATTAAAAGTCTGAAACCGGAACAGCCTTCTACAATCACTCTGTATTTAAAGTCTGGCGGCAAACCGGAGCAGCCTTCTACAATCACTCTGTATTTAAAGTCTGAAACCGGAGCAGCCTTCTACAATCACTCTGTATTTAAAGTCTGAAACCGGAGCAGCCTTCTACAATCACTCTGTATTTAAAGTCTGGCCGCAAACCGGAGCAGCCTTCTACAATCACTCTGTATTTAAAGTCTTGGCCCGCAAAACCGAGCAGCCTTCTACAATACACTCTGTATTAAAGTCTGGCTGCAAACCGGAGCAGCCTTCTACAATCACTCTGTATTTAAAGTCTGGCCGCAAACCGGAGCAGCCTTCTACAATCACTCTGTATTTAAAAGTCTGAAACCGGAGCAAGCCTTCTACACTCACTCTGTATTTAACGTCTGGCGGCAAAACCGGAGCAGCTTCTACAATCACTCTGTATTAAAGTCTGAACCGGAACAGCCTTCTACAATCACTCGTTATTTAAAGTCTGGCTGCAAAACCGGAGCAGCCTTCTACAATCACTCTGTATTTAAAGTCTGTCTGCAAAACCGGAGCAGCCTTCTACACTCGGTATTCAGAATATACACTACCGTTCAAAAGTTTGGGGTCACTTAGAAATGTCCTTGTTTTCGAAAGAAAAGCAATTTTTTTTGTCCATTAAAATAACATCAAATTGATCAAAAATACAGTGTAGACATTGTTAATGTTGTAAATAGCTATTGTAGCTGGAAACGGCAGATTTTTTAATGGAATATCTACAGCATGGTTCTTCAATTCCAGTCCTGGAGGGCCGAAACACCTCTGTTTTTCATCCTCTCCTTTTAATCAGGGGCTAATTCAGACCTGGGACACCAGGTGAGTGCAATTAACTACCAGGTAGAAATAAAAAACAGAAGTGTTTCGGCCCTCCAGGACCGGAATTGAAGAACCCTGATCTACAGTGAGGGAAAAAGTATTTGATCCCCTGCTGATTTTGTACGTTTGCCCACTGACAAAGAAATGGTCAGTCTATAATTTTCATGGTAGGTTTATTTGAACAGTGAGAGACAGAATAACAACAACAAAAATCCAGAAAAATGCATGTCAAAAATGTTATGAATTGATTTGCATTTTAATGTGGGAAATAAGTATTTGACCCCCTCTCAATCAGAAAGATTTCTGGCTCCCAGGTGTCTTTTATACAGGTAACGAGCTGAGATTAGGAGCACACTCTTAAAGGGAGTGCTCCTAATCTCAGTTTGTTACCTGTATAAAAGACACCTGTCCACAGAAGCAATCAATCAGATTCCAAACTCTCCACCATGGCCAAGACCAAAGAGCTCTCCAAGGATGTCAGGGACAAGATTGTAGACCTACACAAGGCTGGAATGGGCTACAAGACCATCGCCAAGCAGCTTGGTGAGAAGGTGACAATAGTTGGTGCGATTATTCGCAAATGGAAGAAACACAAAAGAACTATCAATCTCCCTCGGCCTGGGGCTCCATGCAAGATCTCACCTCGTGGAGTTGCAATGATCATGAGAACGGTGAGGAATCAGCCCAGAACTACACAGAAGGATCTTGTCAATGATCTCAAGGCAGCTGGGACCATAGTCACCAAGAAAACAATTGGTAACACACTACGCCGTGAAGGACTGAAATCCTGCAGCGCCCGCAAGGTCCCCCTGCTCAAGAAAGCACATATACATGCCCGTCTGAAGTTTGCCAATGAACATCTGAATGATTCAGTGGAGAACTGGGTGAAAGTGTTGTGGTCAGATGAGACCAAAATGGATCTCTTTGGCATCAACTCAACTCGCCGTGTTTGGAGGAGGAGGAATGCTGCCTATGACCCCAAGAACACCATCCCCACTGTCAAACATGGAGGTGGAAACATTATGCTTTGGGGGTGTTTTTCTGCTAAGGGGACACGACAACTTCACCGCATCAAAGGGACGATGGACGGGGCCATGTACCGTCAAATCTTGGGTGAGAACCTCCTTCCCTCAGCCAGGGCATTGAAAATGGGTCGTGGATGGGTATTCCAGCATGACAATGACCCAAAACACACGGCCAAGGCAACAAAGGAGTGGCTCAAGAAGAAGCACATTAAGGTCCTGGAGTGGCCTAGCCAGTCTCCAGACCTTAATCCCATAGAAAATCTGTGGAGGGAGCTGAAGGTTCGAGTTGCCAAACGTCAGCCTCGAAACCTTAATGACTTGGAGAAGATCTGCAAAGAGGAGTGTCACAAAATCCCTCCTGAGATGTGTGCAAACCTGGTGGCCAACTACAAGAAACGTCTGACCTCTGTGATTGCCAACAAGGGTTTTGCCACCAAGTACTAAGTCATGTTTTGCAGAGGGGTCAAATACTTATTTCCCTCATTAAAATGCAAATCAATTTATAACATTTTTGACATGCGTTTTTCTGGATTTGTTGTTGTTGTTATTCTGTCTCTCACTGTTCAAATAAACCTACCATTAAAATTATAGACTGATCATGTCTTTGTCAGTGGGCAAACGTACAAAATCAGCAGGGGATCAAATACTTTTTTCCCCTCAATGTACTATACTATCCTTTACCACATACTCTCAATTAGCAATGACACACAGAGAAATAGATCTGCTGACAAACACTGTCAGAGTGGATTATTGGGCTGGTACTGAGATGGCACTGGAGATGGCACTGAGATGGCACTGAGATGGCACCGAGATGGCACCGAGATGGCACCGAGATGGCACTGAGATGGCACTGAGATGGCACTGAGATGGTCAACTGACCACTCTAACAATGAAAATACATGTCCGCAAAGGCAGACGGGAGGAGACGAGATCAGGTGGGAACATTCTAGCCAATGATCTTTTGTAGAAAAACTACCAATGCACTCATAACAACCTAAGCATTATGACTCACTAAAATACTGACCGAATTCCACACTCTTTCATTGTCCCCCATACAAAACTCCAACGACAAAGGAAGGAAAGATTTGACGGCTAGTAACATTTCCAGACGTAAGGGAGGAGAAGGAGGCAGAAGACAGGGAGGAGAAGGGGGCCCGAAGACAGGAGGAGAAGGGGGCCCAGAAACAGGGAGGAAAAAGAGGCAGAAGACAGGAGGAGAAGGAGGCAGAAGACGGAGGAAAGGAGGCAGAAAAGGGGAGAAGAGGCAGAAGACAGGAGGAGAAGGGGGCAGAAGACAGGGAGGAGAAGGAGGCAGAAGACGGAGGAGAAGGAGGCAAAGAGAGAAGGGGGCAGAAGACGGGAGGAGAAGGGGGCAAAGACAGGAGGAAAGGAGGCAGAAGAAGGGAGGAGAAGGAGGCAGAAGACAGGGAGGAGAAGGAGGCAGAAGACAGGGAGGAGAAGGAGGCAGAAGACAGGGAGGAGAAGGAGGCAGAAGACAGGGAGGAGAAGGGGGGCAGAGACGGGGAGGAGAGGAGGCAGAAGACAGGGAGAGAAGGAGGCGAAGACAGGGAGGAGAAGGAGCAGAAGACAGGGGGAGAAGGGGGCAGAAACAGGGAGGAAGGAGGCAGAAGACAGGGAGGAGAAGGGGGCAGAAGACAGGGAGGAGAAGGAGGCGAAGACGGGGAGGAGAAGGGCAGAAACAGGGAGGAAAAGGAGGAAAGAAACAGGGAGGAGAAGGATGCAGAAGACAGGGAGGAGAAGGAGGCAGAAGACGGGAGGAGAAGGGGCAAAAGACAGGGAGGAGAAGGGGGCGAAGACAGGGAGAGAAGGGTCAGAAGACAGGGAGGAGAAGGGGCAGAAGACAGGGAAGGAGAAGGAGGCAGAAGACGGGGAGGAGAAGGAGGCGAAGACAGGGAGGAGAAAAGGCAGAAGACAGGGAGGAGAGGAGGCGGGAAGACAGGGGGAGAAGGAGGAGCAGAAGACAGGGAGGAGAAGGGGGCAGAAACAGGGAGGAGAAGGGGGCAGAAGACAGGGAGGAGAAGGAGCAGAAGACAGGGGGGAGAAGGGGTCAGAAACGGGGAGGAGAAGGGCAGAGACCAGGGGGGAGAAGAGGCAGAAGACAGGGAGGAGAAGGGGTCAGAAACGGGGAGGAGAAGGGGTCAAAACAGGGAGGAGAAGGAGGCAAAGACAGGGAGGAGAAGGAGGCAGAAGACAGGGAGGAAAAAGGAGGCAAAAAGACAGGGAGGAGAAGGGGGCAGAAGACAGGAGAAAAGGGAGGCAGGAAGACGGGAGGAGAAGGGGGGCAGAACAGGGAGGAGAAGGGGGAGAAAGGAGAAGGGGTCAGAAGACAGGGGGAGAAGGAGGCAGAAGACAGGGAGGAGAAGGGTCAAAGACGGAGGAGAAGGAGGCAAAGAGAGAAGGGGTCAAAAGACGGGAGGAGAAAGGAGGCAGAAGACAGGGAGGAGAGGGTCAGAAGACAGGAGGAGAAGGAGGCAGAAGACAGGGAGGAAAGGGCAGAAGACAGGGAGGAAAGGAGGCCGAAACGGGGGGGAGAAGGAGGCAGAGAGATGGGAGAAGGAGGCAGAAGACAGGGAGGAGAAGGAGGCAGAAGACAGGGAGGAGAAGGAGGCAGAAGACAGGGAGGAGAAGGGGCAGAAGACAGGGAGGAGAAGGGGGCAGAAGACAGGGAGGAGAAGGGGCAGAAGACAGGGAGGAGAAGGGGTCAGAAGACAGGGAGGAGAAGGAGGCAGAAACGGGGGAGAAGGGGTCAAAGACAGGGGGGAGAAGGAGGCAGAAGACAGGGGGGAGAAGGGGTCAGAAGACAGGGAGGAAAGGAGGCGAAGACAGGGAGGAGAAGGGGTCAAAAACAGGGAGGAGAAGGGGCAGAAGACAGGGAGGAGAAGGGGGCAGAAGACAGGGAGGAGAAGGAGGCAGAAGAGGAGAAGGGGTCAGAAGACAGGGAGGAGAAGGGGGCAGAAGACAGGGAGGAGAAGGGGGCAGAAGACAGGGAGGAGAAGGAGCCAAAAGAGAAGGGTCAGAAGACAGGGAGGAGAAGGAGGCAGAAGACAGGGAGGAGAAGGGAGGCAGAAGACAGGGAGGAAAGGGGGCAGAAGAGGAGAAGGAGGCAGAAGACAGGGAGGAGAAGGAGGCAGAAGACAGGGAGGAGAAGGAGGCAGAAGACAGGGAGGAGAAGGGGGCAGAAGAGGAGAAGGGGTCAGAAGACAGGGAGGAGAAGGAGGCAGAAGAGGGGGGAGAAGGAGGCAGAAGAGGAAAAGGGGGGCAGAAAAACAGGAAGAGAAGGAGGCAGAAGACAGGGAGGAGAAGGTGTCAGAAGACAGGGGGGAGAAGGAGGCAGAAGACGGGGAGGAGAAGGAGCAGAAGAGGAGAAGGGTCAAAAGGGGAGAAGGGGTCAAAAAGACAGGGAGGAGAAGGAGGCAGAAGACAGGGAGGAGAAGGAGGCAGAAGACAGGGAGGAGAAGGAGGCAGAAGAGGAAAGGGTCGAAGGGGAGAAGGGGCCCAGAAGACAGGGAGGAGAAGGAGCAGAAGACAGGGAGGAAAGGAGGCAGAAGAGGAGAGGGGTCCAGAAAGGAGAAGGGGTCAGAAACAGGGAGGAGAAGGAGGCAGAAACGGGGAGGAGAAGGGGTCGAAGACAGGGAGAAAGGAGGCAGAAGAGGAAAAGGGGTCAGAAACAGGGAGGAGAAGGAGGCAGAAGACAGGGGAGGAGAAGGAGGCAGAAGAGGAGAAGGGGTCAGAAGACAGGGAGGAGAAGGAGGCAGAAGCCCAGGAGAGAAGGGGTCAGAAGACAGGGGGGAAAGAAGGGGTCAGAAACAGGGAGAGAGGGGCAGAAGACAGGGAGGAGAAGGAGGCAGAAGACAGGGAGGAGAAGGAGGCAGAAGACAGGGAGGAGAAGGAGGCAGAAGACAGGGGGGAGAAGGGTGCAGAAGACAGGAGGAGAAGGAGGCAGAAGACAGGGAGGAAGAAGGCAAAAGACAGGGGGGAGAAGGGGGCAGAAGAGGAGAAGGGTCAGAAACAGGAGGAGAAGGGGTCAAAAGACAGGAGGATAGGGGGTCGAAGACAGGGGGGAGAAGGAGGCAGAAGAGGAGAAGGGTCAGAAGATGGGGAGGAAAAGGGAGGCAGAAGCGGGAGAGAAGGAGAGGAAGAAGGAGGCAGAAGACAGGGAGGAGAAGGAGGCAGAAGAGGAGAAGGGGTCAGAAGACAGGGAGGAGAAGGGGGCAGAAGACAGGGAGGAGAAGGAGGCAGAAGACAGGGAGGAGAAGGAGGCAGAAGACAGGGAGGAGAAGGAGGCAGAAGACAGGGAGGAGAAGGAGGCATAAGAGGAGAAGGGGTCAGAAGAGGAGAAGGGGTCAGAAGACAGGGAGGAGAAGGGGTCAGAAGACAGGGAGGAGAAGGGGTCAGAAGACAGGGAGGAGAAGGGGTCAGAAGACAGGGAGGAGAAGGAGGCAGAAGAGGAGAAGGGGGCAGAAGACAGGGAGGAGAAGGAGGCAGAAGACAGGGAGGAGAAGGAGGCAGAAGAGGAGAAGGGGGCAGAAGACAGGGAGGAGAAGGGGTCAGAAGACAGGGAGGAGGAGGAGGCAGAAGACAGGAAGGAGAAGGATGCAGAAGACGGGGAGGAGAAGGAGGCAGACAGGAGAAGACAGGGGGAGAAGGAGGCAGAATAGAGAAAGGGGTTCGAAATACAGGGGAGAGAAGGGGAGGAGGCAGAAGACAGGGAGGAGAAGGCGGAGTAGACAGGAAACCGGCAGACTGGAGGAGGGAACAAACAGAGAAGGTCCTTACCTGGACTTGAGCAGGGTGGGTAATGTCTGCAGGTAAACCAGCAGCACTTCTACAGGTAGACACTGGGTGTGGTCGGAGCACACCTGGCTACACACTGTAGAGACACCCAGTTGTTGGGCGTGGTGCACAAGCTCCACCCCCCTCTGCAGTACGGGGTTGAAGATGTGCGTGTAGAGCTGCCATTGGACCACAGCGTTCCCTCTCAACGTCAGGTGACACACGTGTCCCGCGACCTGTTGGCTGAGTGCCTGGTCCTCCCCGAACACCAGCCCCTGGTACGCCTCCAGGGCATCCCACTTCCACAGTATATCCTCTGCCCCCCCTCCGCTGGGGAGGATACCCTGGGAACGGTAGCTCAAACTGGGGGACGACACCCTGACCTCCCCCTGCTGGAGCGTCTCCTCCAGGCCCGGCAGCTGACTGCTGTCCAGAGTACATATGTTACAGGAGGCTAGCTTAGCCTTCTCAGAGGGCTGGCCGCCTCCTAACTGATCCAGGATCAGCCGGGAGAGAACAGAGAGTATGTGGGACTGGTAGGAGCGGAGGCCTGGAGCCTGGAAGGCGTGGAGGAGAGGACCGACTACAGACCGAGGGTCCATGCAGCAGCAGATCCCCACAGCCTGGACCCCAGCTAGGACCTGGAGCACCGCTGGGCCGCTTGAGGACAGGCGCTGGAGCAGACGGAGACACTGGTGGGCACAGGCTGCCAGGCAGCAGCACCTCTCTGGGTAACGCACCACGTCATCCGCTCCCTCCTTCCCCTCGGACTCTGTCTCTTCGAAGGGGTTGCGGCGGGCGGCCTGTTTGAAAGCGGAGACGGGGAGTCCGGAGAGGTCGCGGTGATGATGCAGGAAGTGGGAGTATTCACAGCGGCGGTGACGACGGCGGGCACAGACGGACTGGTGCAGCTGCTCTGACTTAGCGTTCTTCACGGCGCTGACGATCTTCAGGACCCCGGAGATCAGTCCTCTCAGCCTGTCTGCTGCCTCACCCCCCACCTGAATGGAACATCACGGAATTTAGTCTTTGGACTTTATTGTGTTTTTAATATATTTTTATGTGTGTATTGTTGTTGTACTCAAATGGCTGAGGCAACTCAGTGGGCCAAATTCACTAGAAACAAATTAAGCCTAGTACTGGACTGAAAAGCAAGCTCAGTGGAGAATCTCTTTTTAGTCTAGGACTAGACTTAATCTGTGTCTGGGAAGCTGGCCCCCCCCCATTGATCAAATAAAATCAATCAATCAAACCTCAGAGTCGGGGGCGCGGCCCAGCCTCTCTAGCCTCAGAACGGTGGCCTCAAACAGTTCCAGGCCGCGATGCTGGATGAACTCATGGAGCCGCTCTAGAGCCTGGCTGAAGAAGAAGGGGTTGGGGGCCGAGGCCTGGAGACACCCCAGCAGCACCTGTACATCCCATTACATTCATAGAATGGTTTTAAGAAATTACAATTATCGCACATCTGCAAATGGCACCGTATTCCCAATATAGTGCACTACTTTAACCAGACCACCCTATCAGGCGCTGGATTACAATAGATTCATTGTATTTATTAGTGTGGTGTTCCACAGGGATACATTATTGGACCTCTTATTTCTATACTGAACAAAAACATAAACACAACATGTAAAGTGTTGGTCCCATGTTTCATGAGCTGAAATAAAGATCCCAGAAATGTTCCATACGCACAAATAACGTATTTCTCTCACAAATTTGTTTACATCCCTGTTAGTGAGCATTTCTCTTTTGCCAAAATAATCCATCCACCTGACAGGTGTGGCATATCAAGAAGCTGATTAAACAGCATGATCGTTACACAGGTGCACCTTGGTTTCTTAATTCCATTCTTTTACTTTTAGATTTGTGTGTATTGTTGTGTATTGTTAGATATTACTGCACTGCTGGAGCTAGAAACACAAGCATTTCGCTACACCCACAATAACATATGCAAAAAATATGTATGTGCCAATACAATTTGATTTGATTTGATCTGACCTGACTGAGACAAATCAAAATCAGATTTGCAGATGTTATCGCAGGTAATATAATATATACAGATAAATGGTGTGTATACAGTATATTAATTTAAAAGGTCTGTACAGCAGTAGTTATATAGGATGAACCATGACTAGAATACAGTATATACATATGAAGTGGGTAAAACAGTATGTAAACATTATTAAAGTGAACAGTGTTCAATGGGTAGCAGCCTCCAAGGTGCAGGGTAGAGTACCGGGTGGTAGCCTGCTAGTAACAGTGACTAAGGTTCAGGGTAGAGTACCGGGTGATAGCCTGCTAGTAACAGTGACTAAGGTGCAGGGTAGAGTACCGGGTGATAGCCTGCTGGTAACAGTGACTAAGGTGCAGGGTAGAGTACCGGGTGATAGCCTGCTGGTAACAGTGACTAAGGTTCAGGGTAGAGTACCGGGTGATAGCCTGCTGGTAACAGTGACTAAGGTTCAGGGTAGAGTTACCGGGTGGTAGCCTGCTGGTAAACAGTGACTAAGGTTCAGGGTTAGAGTACCCGGGTGGGTAGCCTGCTGGTAACAGTGACTAAGGTGCAGGGTAGAGTACCGGGTGGTAGCCTGCTAGTAACAGCGACTAAGGTGCAGGGTAGAGTACCGGGTGATAGCCTGCTAGTAACAGTAACTAAGGTGCAGGGTAGAGTACCGGGTGGTAGCCTGCTGGTAACAGTAACTAAGGTGCAGGGTAGAGTACCGGGTGATAGCCTGCTAGTAACAGCGACTAAGGTGCAGGGTAGAGTACCGGGTGATAGCCTGCTAGTAACAGCGACTAAGGTGCAGGGTAGAGTACCGGGTGATAGCCTGCTGGTAACAGTGACTAAGGTTCAGGGTAGAGTACCGGGTGGTAGCCTGCTGGTAACAGTGACTAAGGTTCAGGGTAGAGTACCGGGTGATAGCCTGCTGGTAACAGTGACTAAGGTTCAGGGTAGAGTACCGGGTGGTAGCCTGCTAGTAACAGTAACTAAGGTGCAGGGTAGAGTACCGGGTGATAGCCTGCTAGTAACAGCGACTAAGGTTCAGGGTAGAGTACCGGGTGGTAGCCTGCTGGTAACAGTAACTAAGGTGCAGGGTAGAGTACCGGGTGATAGCCTGCTAGTAACAGTGACTAAGGTGCAGGGTAGAGTACCGGGTGGTAGCCTGCTAGTAACAGTAACTAAGGTGCAGGGTAGAGTACCGGGTGATAGCCTGCTAGTAACAGTGACTAAGGTGCAGGGTAGAGTACCGGGTGATAGCCTGCTAGTAACAGTGACTAAGGTGCAGGGTAGAGTACCGGGTGGAGGCCGGCTAATGGTGACTGTTGACTGGTCTGGAAATACGACGTACACCTTCCAGGAAGCGCACAACCAGGGGGTGGGCCCCCGGTAAGGCTCCGTCAATTCCTACATGACACGCTGGGATAGTGGCCATGTGCACTTTCAACGATCCTGTAGGAAAGTAAGGATGTGCCTCACAGAGCACTGAAAAGGAACCAGTCCTTTATCTTGGCACCAGAGCTCAAACACTTACCACTTATTCTCATACAGCCCTTTTGTGGAGGGAGCCCTTACAGACTGAATGGTAGCATTCAGAGGTAAACCTCAAGCCATCAGATTGGCCCTGTCTGGGGCCAGGCCAATAATAACCAAATATCCGGCCTCGCTTGTCAAACCTGTTGTCACAACAAGCCTCACTCGGTTTAGGCTGTAAGATGCGTTCCGTTAACCAGCTGGCATCCAGCATTCTAAAATACCTACCAGTCATAGGTACCTACTAGCGACCAGGCTGGGAATGGGACAGACAGCTCTGGGAACAGACAGGGGCGATTCGTAATTCAATCTAATTCCCAGGAATGAAAATAACTGAGCTGGAGATAGACAGCTCATTTCGGGAATCATATGTACCACAGAGACTGTGTGAGGGACAGTAGCATGGTTCAGAGACTGTGTGAGGGATAGTAGCATGGTTCAAGACTGGGGAGGGATAGTAGCATGTTCAGAGACTGTGTGAGGGATAGTAGCATGTTCAGAGACTGGGGAGGGATAGTAGCATGGTTCAGAGACTGTGTGAGGGATAGTAGCATGGTTCAGAGACTGGGGAGGGATAGTAGCATGGTTCAGAGACTGTGTGAGGGATAGTAGCATGGTTCAGAGACTGTGTGAGGGATAGTAGCATGGTTCAGAGACTGTGTGAGGGATAGTAGCATGGTTCAGAGACTGTGTGAGGGACAGTAGCATGGTTCAGAGACTGGGGAGGGATAGTAGCATGGTTCAGAGACTGGGGAGGGACAGTAGCATGGTTCAGAGACTGGTGAGGGATAGTAGCATGGTTCAGAGACTGGTTGAGGGAAGGTAGCATGGTTCAAGAGACTGGGGAGGGATAGTAGCATGGTTCAGAGACTGGGGAGGGATAGTAGCATGGTCTCAGAGACTGGGGAGGATAGGTAGCATGGTTCAGAGACTGGGGAGGGATAGTAGCATGGTTCAGAGACTGGGGGAGGGATAGTAGCATGGTTCAGAGACTGTGTGAGGGATAGTAGCATGGTTCAGAGACTGTGTGAGGGATAGTAGCATGGTTCAGGAGACGTGTGAGGGATAGTAGCATGGTTCAGAGACTGTGTGAGGGATAGTAGCATGGTTCAGAGACTGGGGAGGGATAGTAGCATGGTTCAGAGACTGGGGAGGGATAGTAGCATGGTTCAGAGACTGGGGAGGGATAGTAGCATGGTTCAGAGACTGGGGAGGGTAGTAGCATGGTTCAGAGACTGGGGAGGGATAGTAGCATGGTTCAGAGACTGGGGAGGGATAGTAGCATGGTTCAGAGACTGGGGAGGGATAGTAGCATGGTTCAGAGACTGGGGAGGGATAGTAGCATGGTTCAGAGGACTGGGGAGGGATAGTAGCATGGTTCAGAGACTGGGGAGGGATAGTAGCATGGTTCAGAGACTGGGGAGGGATAGTAGCATGGTTCAGAGACTGGGGAGGGATAGTAGCATGGTTCAGAGACTGGGGAGGGATAGTAGCATGGTTCAGAGACTGTGTGAGGGATAGTAGCATGGTTCAGAGACTGTGTGAGGGATAGTAGCATGGTTCAGAGACTGTGTGAGGGATAGTAGCATGGTTCAGAGACTGTGTGAGGGATAGTAGCATGGTTCAGAGACTGTGTGAGGGATAGTAGCATGGTTCAGAGACTGTGTGAGGGATAGTAGCATGGTTCAGAGACTGGGGAGGGATAGTAGCATGGTTGTGTCCGACCCTGCTTGTTCCTCCGACTCCGCTACCAACCACCGCTCTGTATCACCAGACACTAGGAACTAGTGAGCTACAGGCAGGAATAAGTTAATTCATCCCAGTAATGAGTCACCCAATGTATTACACCCACCCTGGGGTAGATTGATAAAGCCCTTGAACCCCATGAACACCATGGAACGCCGAATACCAGAGGGGCATTAAACATGGACAAGCTTCCAACACACTGACTGTGGAGCCTGCATGATGCCCGGTCCCTTTATGGGCACAGAGGCCTCAGGGAATGGCTGACATAGCACCCCGTTTGTCGTAACAAAACGTGGGGGCCACTGGCGTCCCAGTCATGTTTCTGTGGAGCTCAGGGGCTACTTCCTCATCGGAAGCCCCTCTTTCCCTACTCCCTCCAACTCCAGGAAATGAAAATAGGAACGGGGTTGCCATAGCGCCGGGGGAACGCTAGTACGTTGCTAGCCGACATTAGTCAGGAGGCTCTTTAGTCTAAGCCAGGCTAGCAGCACGGTCCGTTTAGAATAACCAGGAGACTGAAGGCTACGTGTACTAAACAAGAGAGTTACGCCAGCAACTCCCCCGTGGAGAGGCAGGAATAGAGCAACTCCCCCGTGGAGAGGCAGGAATAGAGCAACTCCCCCGTGGAGAGGCAGGAATAGAGCAACTCCCCCGTGGAGAGGCAGGAATAGAGCAACTCCCCCGTGGAGAGGCAGGAATAGAGCAACTCCCCCGTGGAGAGGCAGGAATAGAGCAACTCCCCCGTGGAGAGGAAGGAATAGAGCAACTCCCCCGTGGAGAGGAAGGAATAGAGCAACTCCCCCGTGGAGAGGAAGGAATAGAGCAACTCCCCCGTGGGGAGGCAGGAATAGAGCAACTCCCCCGTGGAGAGGAAGGAATAGAGCAACTCCCCCGTGGAGAGGAAGGAATAGAGCAACTCCCCCGGGGAGGGGCGGGAAGAGAAAAACCCCCCCGGGGAGGGGAAGGGAATGAGCAACCCCCCTGGAAGAAGGAATAGAGCAATCCCCCGGGGGAGGGGAATAGAGAAACCCCCCTGGGAGGGGAAATTTAAGCAACCCCCCCCCCGTGGGAGGAAAAATAGAGCAACCCCCCCCTGGGAAGGAAGGAATA